CCACTGGGGTGGTGGGAACTAGAGTAGGTGATTAGACAGCTGAGGTCGGGAGGTTTTGGAAGGCGAGGAGGCTGCCGAGGAGACCCCAAGCCACAAGGAGAGAAAATGCAGTTTGAATAGTTTCATGCCTCTATTAAAGGAATTTCTAAAGAAAGAAAACGAATCGCCTCTAGTTCCGTTGAATTATTCTATTTTCTCTAGCGTAGACTTGGAGCGTCCAGACTGACATGCTTTGCACCAGTGGGGGAGGGATCATGTAGGGGCAGGTGGAAAGTCACATTTGCCCCTGCAGTCCAGCCGCCTTTCCCTGCTCGTTTCATGGTTTGAAAGATTTGTCTAGGGGTGTTTCTGATGTGTCTTTTCCTTCTCTCTTACTTTTCCAGATGGTTTAACACCCGCAAGGATTGTAGTTTAAGAAGAGAAATCCTCTCAGCCACTGAAGCCATTCTATTTGTGACCACCAGAGGGCGGCCACACACTTGCCGCTGACTCCCGGGACGCTCCTGGTCCACACTTTCAGGCCGCTGGGGAGAGAGGTCTCTGGTTAATGGGGTATCCCTGCAGAGCTATTCTTGAATGTTTGTTTCTGGTTTCTACATAAAATCTTTGTTTCTCACGCTTCCCTGGTTTTCTCTTGCTGAGTGCGTGCTCCTAAGAGGTGCTCAGTTGTGGTCACCCTGGCTCCCACCCATCGTCCTCTACCATAGTTCCAGCCCATGCAGGACACGCCCTTTGCCCCTCTTCTTACCTCTCTCTTCTCCCTGATCTCTCCTGGATGCCTCAGATGTATAGTCAGCTTTCAAGGGTTTTAAAATTTATCCTTATCTGACCCTTTGTTTGGTTTCTCTATGCTCCACTTCTAAGTGAAATTATCCAGTATTTATCCTTCTTCTGGCTCATTTTTGCTTAGCATTATCCCTCCCATCCATGCTGTCTCAAATGGCGTGAGTTTATCTTTTTTGATTGCTGGGTAGTATTCCACTGTGTGTATGTACCACACCTATTCGTCCACTCATCTGTTTTGGGGCATGTGGGTTGTTTCCATATCTTGGCTATTGTAAATAGTGCTGCAATAAACATAGGGGAGCAAGGTTCCCCTCAAGTTAGTGTTTTTGTGTTCTTTGGGTAGATTTTTAGGAGTGGAATTGCTGGTCTATGGCAGATCCATTTTCAGTCTTTTGAGGAAATGCCACACAGTTTTCCATAGTGGCTGGACCAGTTTACATTCCTACCAACAGTGGATGGGGGTTCCTTTTTCTCCACCTCCTCACTAGCACAAACACACACACTCACCAAGCATGTATATCTCCATTTCTACAATTTTAGTTCTACAGAATTTTGGTGGATGATTAAGCTGATGGATCAAATTTGGTCTTTTTTGCTTTTATATTTGTATCTCCCTTTGACCTACACAATCTTTTCCAGATTGTTGGACTTTTGAAATTCCCTATTCCTATTTGTGGCCTCTTTTCTAGTGGATTGTTAATCTTTTTTTTGATTGTGGAGTAGAGGGTGTTAACATTTTAAAAAAACTATTAGTTCCTCTTGTATGTATTGCCAAGTGTCTTCTCACAATGTTATTTCCTTTTCAACTTGAATGATGATGTCTTTTTCACATGGAAAATTTTAAATTTTGAAAGAGTTTGGCCTCGCAACTGCTTCTGGGGTCCTCCAGATGACGCCATTCCTCTGGCTAGTCTTTTGCTTTTTGCTTCCACATCTCCAAGCCAAACCCAGAACTCGTGTTCCCGTGTAGCCAGTGAGGCTCCTCTGGCATGTTCTGAGACTGGCATGGCCTTAGCTAATGGGATGAACTTGGCTAAAGAGATTAGCAAGAGGCCTTGTGGATCCCACTTTTAATCTGCAGCGCTCTGCCTGTCCCTTCTGGACTGGACAAGGAGCTGCAGAAACAACGTGAAGGAGCAGTGATCCGAGGTCTCTGTTACCGAGGCTGAGTTGATGGTGGCGGCAACCAAGAGGCTCAGTATGGGCAGGGCGCGGAACAGCTCCATGCAGCCTGGGCCATCTGCAACCTGAGGCCTTGAGCCCTTGGCCCTGGGACCCCTAAGGTCAGGCGTGGCAGCTGTGCTGAGGAAGGCTGCCCTTACTGCACCCTGCAATCATGGCGCTGCTGAAAGTCAAATTTGACCAGAGGAAGCGGGTCAAGTTGGCCCAAGGGCTCTGGCTCATGAACTGGCTCTCCGTGTTGGCTGGCATCTTCATTTTCAGCTTGGGGCTGTTCCTGAAAATAGAACTTCGGAAGAGGAGCGATGTGATGGACAATTCAGAGAGTCATTTTGTGCCCAATTCCTTGATAGGAATAGGGGTGCTGGCCTTTGTCTTTAACTCTCTGGCTGGCAAGATCTGCTACGATGCCCTGGACCCTGCTAAGTATGCCAAGTGGAAGCCCTGGCTGAAGCCATACCTGTCCTTTTGTGTCTTCTTCAACTTCGCTCTGTTCCTGGTGGCCCTCTGCTGCTTTCTAATGCGGGACTCCCTGGAGAGCACCCTGGCTCTCGGGCTCAGGAATAGCATGAAGTACTACCGGGACACAGACACCCCTGGGAAGTGCTTCATGAAGAAGACCATGGATTTGCTGCAGATGGAGTTCAAATGCTGCGGCAATAACGGCTTTCGGGACTGGTTTGAGGTTCAGTGGATCAGCAACCGCTACCTGGACTTTTCCTCCAAGGAAGTCAAAGAGTGAGTGACCTGCAGGCCCGCAGGCGCCTGGGCCCAGGCCCGGCCTGTGACACGGTCCCCACCCCAGTCCAGTGTCTCATCCTCCTCCCTGTGTGCTCTGTGTACAACTTACTTCTGCACGGGTGAGGGCACCTCTGGGTGGAGCACACGGGTTTGCCAATATGCTAATCTTTTTTGCCTATAAAAATGGCAATTCTAGATGGCTCAACCTAATATTTGACTAAGGTGGCTAAGTTCTTTTTTTTTTTTACAGACTGATTTATTTATGCATACAGAACTGGGGTACAGGCCAGAGGTACAGGGATGGTGAGAGGATTAACCAGAGACAGAGCGGGGAGCAGAACAGGCAGATCGATGAAGTACACTAGTGGCTGAAGGGAGCAGTGGGCGGGTCAGGAAAGGTCTGCCGCGCCATGTGGGTCACTCTGGGGCGGGGATTGAACTCGCAGTGAGCTGGCTGTGGCCAGCTTGCAGTGCTGGTGTTTAGCCCATTGTGTGTAAGGTGGCTAAGTGCTAGGAACTCTTGGATGGGAGGGCCCAGGGAGGAAGACCCAGCCAGGAACATGCGTCTGCCTCATATAGCAGTGCAGGGGCCTACAGAGGCTGCGTGTCCTGAGATGCCGTTGAACACTTGTGTCCTTGCCACAGGAAATGGGTTCAGTGCCAGAAGCTTAAATTCGCTGGTAAGTTCCCTTATTTTCCAAACTTTCAACCCTGTGTCTGCCCTCAAGGTGTCTGTCCTTGGATATGGTGAAAAGAGCAGAAGACTGGGCAGTCCAGAGGCTGAGGCCATGGTTTTGGGTCTGTTGCTACTTAGCTTGTGACATGGAGTAAGTCACTTGTCACCTAGACCTTTGCCAGCACTTTCAAATGGAGGTAGATGACAGCCTTCTCTCAGCTCTTCTAGAGCCTGGCACACCACAGATGTCTTTTTAAACCATGACAGGCCACTGCTGTAAGTGTTTAGAATGTGTTCTTGGCCCATGGAAACATAAGCTCCTGGGGTGGGGTGTGGGAGGTGCAGCTGAGGAGAGTCTCACCCATCCTACCAGGGGGTATGCTCATCCCAGCCCCCCTCTTCCCAGTGCACCCACGAGCCCTGGTCTGTAGTCACGTCCCAAGGCAAGGGCAGCTCTCCCTACGTCAGCAGCCTTCCCTCACGCCTGTCCAGTTCCACCCTTTCCCTGGGAGGCTTGGGGCCCAGGTTTTCATCTGGGTGATTTTCCTTCTGGGAAAGGCTGGTGAGTCCCAGGGGACTTGCTCTCAGGGTGCTGGGCATGCTGGCAGCAGGACATCATTGACCTGGTCAACATCCCTGAGGGTAGCTTAGCTGCCCTTGGGTAGACGGGAAGTCGGACTGAAGGTCATGCTGGGATGCTATTTTCTCTGCAGGGGGATTACTGCTACAAATCCCTAGCTCTGCCCTTCCTAGGTAACAGGTCTGCAGAGACAGCATGAGATGGCACGATTTACAGCAATTGCCCCAGCAGGGTATGAAGCCAGAGGGACGAGTAAAATCCCAGGAGATGTGGCAGAGTTGGGGAGCCGCTGATAATGGATCCAGCTTTTATGAGCAGACCAGAGGGGCTTTCTATCTTTTCCTGTAATTTTTTCCTTGACTGCCTTCTATACAGTCATTGGAGACCCTTATAAAATCTCTTTGTAATCCCCAAATCCCCTTTAGTCCCAGAGAAATCCTTTAGGTCGCTCCAGTCCCAAAGGTCACCAGATCGATTTTTTTTTTTAAATTGATGATTTTTTTTTAAGAGAGTTATTTATTTGTGAATACAGAACTGGGGTACAGGCCAGAGGCTCAGGGGCAGCGAGAGGCTTCACCAGAGACAGAGTGGGGAGCAGAACAGGCAGATGGATGAAGTACACTGCTGAGGGGAGCAGCGGGCGGGTCAGGAGAGGTCTGTTGTGCCATGTGGATCACCTGGCAGGCAGAGATCGAACTCATGTGGAAGTGGCTTTAGCTTCTCAGTGCTGTGCTTTAACCCGCTGAGCCACCAGGAAGGGCCCCAGATTGATTTTTTTTTAATTGAAGTCACATGAGTTTATAATATCATGTGTGATTCACAAGCTAAATTTTCAGGCAAACATTAAGCTTGATCAAAACTACTTCAGTCAGGGCCTCATGCCCCTCCTTGAGCTTCAGGACTCTGGAGAGGTGACTCCAGGAGCAGGAAGCAGATCAGAGTGTAGGGAGTCTGGGGAAAACTCACAAGGGTGCTCTCGGGACGCTGGTTCTGGGAGAGGGTGGTGCCCATGCCCGGGGCTTCTGGCCATTTCTGCAGGCTCTGTCCCCAGAGAGCCTCTCCACACTCGATACCACGCACCCCTTATTGGGTTAGGGACAGTTTCCAGTCTAGCTCCTGGAGGAGCAGCTGGGTCCCTGCATATCCGGCTCTCTAGACACTCTCCCCTGTCTCCTTCCGAAACCAAGCCTGGGGTTCAAGGCTTCAGCAAGCATGTAGGGGTGGCCGATTCTTGGGGAGATTTTCCCCTGGGGAATCTTCATTATCAAGAGCTAGCCCTGAGGCTCCTGATCTAAACAGAGATCAAATATGAGCAATTTGAGAATTTACAAAGGTTTTTGGACCTCTGTTCCAGGCTTGTCGCCCCGTGGCCACATTCCATCCCCTATCTGTCCAGGTCATCTTGGAGGGGAGAAGACCTTCCCCTATTCTACACAAAACCCCTCCTGGGGGCTGTGGGCATAAATGCACAATAATATAGCTCAGGTGCCATCAGAGAGGTGAAGGGACATTCCCAAGAACTTACCGCCTGGATGTGGGACCAATCCACCAGCCTGAGAGGCTACTTACATGGTATACAACTTGCTCATTGAAGTGCGTGATCCAACCAGATTTTAGCATGTTCACAAATAAGTGCAGGCAACATTGCAGTTGATTTTAGGTCATGTTCATGTCTGCAAAGAGCAACATGAGTCTTTCAGCCTGTTCCCCAGCTTCCCCTATCCCCAGCCCTAGGGACCCCCCTGTTTTCTCCCCTCTAGACACCCCTGTTTTGACATTTCATTTGATTGGGATCTTGCCTTATTTCTCCTCGGGGTCTGCCTTCTTTCACAGAGCATAATGTTTTCAAATTTCAAAGTTCTTCTACGTGGCAATACGTGTCGCATCTTCCCTCCTTCCCATGGTCCAACGGTCCAACTGTGTGGAGAGCCAGGCTTTACTTCTCTTCTTTTGACTTCATTGTTCCTCCCCCAGTGATGCTACAAGTGCAGATGGTACAGACTGGGTGGCAAATGAATGTTTGCTTCCTGGCTGACTAGAAACCTGAAATTATCCAGACCTCTTGGGGAGTGCGGTGGGAACTACCTCTTTGTCCTCCATCTCTGTCTCCTAGCTCCTCACTTCCTCCTTCTTCCACATGACAGGGAATGCTGTGGGCAGAGGTAGTGCAGGTTCTAGAAACATTATGACTGGACTCCATTTCTTCTGGACCAGAGTCTGATCAATGCAATGGCCCCCCAAAACCCAGAAACATGCGTAAGCTCCCCATGGCCTGTGTTGCAAGAGCCATGGCCATGCTCCACCTCTGGCATCTCTTATAGCTCACCTTCCACCCCCAGTCTGCAGCAGGGTGGGGGGACACACCTGCCTTATGGCGAGGGCAGAATCTGGGAGTGCCCCTCCCTCAGCAACTCCCAGTCTTCATGGCAGGGGCAGGCGGCAGGAGAACTGCAACTCTGGCCCAGTGTCTGCACCTGGGCCTCCAGAGTGAGCACAGCTGGTGTCTCTCTTAATATCGCACTTCCTGTTTTTCTTATGGAATATGTCAGGCATTCACAAAAGTCAAGAGCTTATAATGATGTCCCCATATGCCCAGCTCCTAACTTCAACAAATAGAAGCCTTTTATCTGTGGCCTTAAACAAAAACAATCAGTTATTGCAGCAGCAAAATGAGTTTTTTGAAACAAACAATAAAAAACAGGATAGGTTGGGCCCTCCCTGGTGGCGCAGCGGGTGAAAGCATAGCATGAAGAAGCTAAAGCCATTTCAGCAGGAGTTCGATCCCCGCCCTGGAGGTGACCCACATGGCATTGCAGACCTCTCCTGACCTGCCCGCTGCTCCCCTCAGCAGTGTGCTTCGTCAGTCAGCCTGTTCTGCTCCCCACTTTGTCTCTAGTGAATCCTCTCACTGTCCCTGTACCACTGGCCTGTACCCCTGTTCTGTATGCATAAATAAATAAATCTTAAAAAAAAAAAAAACACCAGGATAGATTGAAGAGCATACCTTCAAGGACCAACCCACTCCCCAAACCAAGGCTACCTGCCCAAAAAGCCTCTGGAGGGCACCCCCATCAATTCCATCGTGAGGGAAATGGCATCATTTCTGCGGAAGATGCAAGACATGTTGGGTTAGATGCAAGACATGCAGTTTGATTCTTTACCACAGGGCATTTTCTTTCTACCCCACCCCCAAAACTTCCTTAACCTGGGTTCCAGATGGTGGTGTTGATGTGACTGTCTTGTTTCTTCTCTACTAGTCACCTCCTGCACACCCTCCTCCTCTCTGAGTACCTTAACCATTTTCTTTGTCCCTTAAATACTTTAACAGGCACTCCTAACACTTAAAAGGGGCACCTGCTATTTTGTTTAATGTAAGCACAGTACTGCTCACATCTGACAACATGAACCATAATATCTAATGCCCAGCCTGTGACAGTGTCCTTGGGTTGTCTTAAAATGGCCCTTTCTGTTTGTTCAAATCACGACCCAAGGCATGTCCACTCTCAGTCTTTGGTTGTCTGGGTTCCTAAGTCTCTACTGTTCTAGAACAGTTACCTTCCTCCGGCCATGTGTGTGCTCGGGGATTGGGATACTCTGTCCCATGTCACCACAGTCTGCAGTTGGCAGCTGCAGCCCAGCGGTGCTGTTCACCTGGTCTCCTATCCCCTGCATTTCTCCAGTCAGCCACTTTTGGTGAGAACATACTCATGGGAGCTGCTATGTGCATCTGGCTACATTTCA